AGATTGTAAATTTCATACATAAACTATCACTTATTTGTTTAAATAACACAATGTGTATAATGCACTCAATTTAGGTAAACTATTACTTATTAGTTTAGATAATACACCTCAATGGTGTGTGTGATGCACTCACTTTAGGTGTGTTTTGGACACTCGTATTTTATTAATTACAAAGATATATTTAATCCAAAATAATAATAATATATTAAATAAAATTTCATAAGTGAATATAGAGAGTATAGCGTAAATATGTTTTACTATTATCTTGGGGAGGCAGAAAGATTGTTACTAAAGGACTTTCGGCACAAATACAATGATTTCATATATAAAGGAGCAAATAGTAACAAAAAAATATAACTAATAGAAGAAGTAGTGCAAAGCCTATAAGAAAATAATATAAACAACAACATAATAATGCAATTGCCGTAAAATATTGAACAAAGGAAAATAGATGTAAGAAACTAGAACTAACAAAAAATAGGCTAGTACAATAAAAGCCACCAACAAGCTTGAGCCCTCAAAACCTTGACAACACTCCACTATCTATTAACCTTCTATCATAATATACAACTTTCAGTACACACACCCTCACATCTAAGATAATTTAAAGGTATAATGCATAAACATGACCCTTAACTTGGCTTCAACGAATAATTATGTCCTCCAACTTTGAGTATGCACAAGTAGGCACTTAAATTTATATAAAATTGAACAAGTAGACATACATGTCCTATATGGCATAATACACATCGGACGCCATGTAGGACACAAAATTGCCATGTAGGACGAATGTGTCTATTTGTTCAATTTTATACAAGTTTAAGTGTCTACTTATACAGACCCAAAGTTAAAGGTCATAGTTGCCAACTAATACCAAGTTAAAGGTCATACTTATGTATTATGCCTAATCTAAAGTTATGTCATGTTAGGTCTAATCACCTCTTTTTAATTATTTTTTTGTCTCACCTCTACCCATCTCATGTCTCATGCCTAATACATCCACCTCTCGGACCTCCTTACTAGAGCGTATGGAATCTCCACTTCACATGTCCAAACTATCACAATCTCGCTTTTCACATCTTATTCATCACGGTGACCACTAATTCATGAAGTCTATGATAAAATACATTGCTAGTCTTTACATCACATGATCTTTAAAATATTATTCTTAACTTATAAAAGTTCCTAATTTTTGAAACAAGATGTGGCTGTAGTTTAGTGGTAAGAATTCCACGTTGTGGCCGTGGAGACCTGGGCTCGAATCCCAGCAGCCACACATCTCATTTTTTCTACACCAAACTCTTAAAACGACGTCGTATAACATACTCAAACTACTAAAACGGTGTCGTTTGATGACCCACCCACCCGCATCAGCACTAGGTTAAATAGCTCCAAAGTCCGATCTAAAGTCTTCACTGACACTCTCGGAGGAAGAAAAATCAAAGATCGTAGCTTTTGGGTTCTTCAAATTCTACACAAATTTCACTGTAAGTTTCATCCTCGCATAATTCAATTTCATTTTTGTTGAATCCTGTTTTTTTTTTCAGAAAAAAAAAGAGTACTTTTTGATTTAGCTGATTTTGGTTGGCGATTTATCTTTTAGGGGTAAATTTTTTGTGATTTATTGTTATTTCGTGCAATTGAATGGTTGATCTGCTGTAATTTCGGTAATTCGATAAGGAATGAGGTACATTGTATCAGATTGTATAAAAAGGAGAATTGTTGTTTTGTTTTGTGGGTTTTATGAAGGAAATGGAATTTGTTATGATGTGAAGTGAATTATGTAGAAGAACTAGATTATGGATCAAGGGTTCTGGAGGGCTATGAAGATGAAACAGAATGTATAGGGGACTAAAGGTTTCATTTCTATAGTGGTTAAGGAGTTCTGCAAACAATGGGAAGAGTTTAATAGGGGTTTTGTTTCGTGTGATGTAAATGTTTGTAAATGGAAAATGTTAATACCTAAATCATTTCGTGGTGTTTACTTGACATGAAGTTTGGTGGCATACGGTCAATTTTTGTTGATAAGTAGAAGGGAGTTTGGAGTAGATTTGTTGGGAGAGGGGTAATGTTGGTGGTGTTCAATATTAACCTTGTGAGTTTCAAATATTGAGGATATTGTCTCAATATTGGTGAAATGAGTGATATTTGGTATGAGTGAAGAAGTTTATAGTGTGTACTGGCTTTATGCACTTCAAAAGATTGAAGCTACTTTTCCCTAGTAGGGTTGATTATTTAGCATTTGTACTCATTAAAAACATTTAAGCTATTGAAGATAGCTAAAGCAGTTTTGCCATAAATGTTCTGATCATACCAAACCGATACTTGGTGATGTGGGAAAGATCTTTGTATTTTGGTCAATATTTAGCTCAACTTGGATTATACAACTTGAATTGCTGTCTATCTTTAGCATGAATTAGGTTTTTCTTGGCTTGTATAATCTCCTATGGTCCAAGGGGATGGAGACAATTTGCTCAAGATGGGATCTCAAAGGACATGTTTTGCATTTGTGAAATGATCCTAATTAACAGCTAGAATTAATTGGTGCCCAAAGAGGTGCATTGGATTCAAGCTTAAGAATTAGAAATCCACAGGATTAAATCCCTCCATCCATATAGGCCTCGAAATTATTCCAAACCAATAATGTCTGCAATAAAGTTTCATTTATATAGTGCTTCATGAGATGCAAAAAGTGGGAAGACTCAATTGGTTTGTTTCATATGATGTAAAACAATGCAAAATGCTTATAGGTGGAATATGTTAACAAGGGAAAATAATTCTTAAATCATTTTCTGGTGTTTGATTGACATGAAGTTTGGCGGCATGCATTATTTTTTTCCCGATAAGTAGAAGTGAAATTACGGAGTAGTCTGGTGGCATACAATAATGATGTAGATTTGGGAGTGGGGTATGTTGGCATTTTTTGATGTTATCTTTGTGAGTCAACGAGTGAAAATATTGCCTAAGTATTGGTGAAGTGAGTGATCTTTAGAATGAGTGAAGAAACCTATAGAGTATATTGCCTTAAGCACCTCAAAAGATTATTTAGCATTTCTACTCATGAAAACATTTAAGTTCGATAGCTTAAGCAGTTTTGCCAACAAGGTTCTGATCATACCAAATTGATACTTGGTGATGTGGATAAGGTCTTTGCATTTTGCTCAATATTTTAGCTTAACTTGGATCATGCAGCTCAAGTTGCTGGTATAGCTTTAGCATGAATCAGGCTTTTCTTGGCTTGTACATTCGCCTATGGTCCAAAGGGATACATTGCTCGAGATGGGATTTCAAAGGACATGTTTTACATTTCATGTGTACATGATCCTAATTTATAGCTAAAATCAACAGGTATCCAAACAAGTGCATTGGATTCAAGCTTAAGAACTAGAAATCCAAAGGATTAAATCCTGCCATTTATATAGGCCCTGAATTATTCCAACCAATAAATGTCTGGACTAAAGATATAAGAATGAAGACCATGTAGGATAAACAAAAGAGAGGAAGAGAGATGGAGAGTATTAAGTATTTGTTTTAGGATTTGCTTGGAAAGGGAAGAAGGAAATGTGTAATGTGACAGTAACACTTAATGTAATTTGTTCATTAGCCTAAAGTTTTGTTAGACTTTACAAACCACTTTGCTAAAGGATGTTTTGGACTTTATTTGAATGAAAGGGAAGGAAAAGAAAGGAGAAGAGAAGAGAGTAGTAAGTTTAACTTTGCCATTGGATTGACTTTTAGGAAGAGAAAAGAGGAGATAGATCCATGTACCTTAAAAGAAAGAGCTGGCATGTGTTCATTGGCTCCAGCTTTGCATGTCTCTTGGTTCGCTGGCATCTTGGTTCCTAGGCACTCTTTGGCCAGTTGATAATATTGTCCTTGTTTTTTTAATTCTGCCTTTTTTTCTGCTGACTTTAGCGTTTGTTAGAGTCTGTTGAACAGCTTGGCTGACTAATCTAGTTGGATGATTTGTCTTCTAGATTGTTAGAACACAGGTGTTAGTTTGAGTGTGTAGCTGCAAAAAACTTGTAAATATGAATTCTAAAGTTGGAGTGATTAAGAATTTCAGATTGGTAAAGGGAAAATGGGTAGCCAAGAGAAGAGACTCAGCAATAGTCTCCAGATGTTTAAACTTAAGTAAGAATGATGTAAATTTGGAATAGATAGTTGCTTTCTAGTGACTACCTTCTCTTTTAGTTATCCTTTTCTGGAGTTTTATTGTTCACATATTATGCGACAAAAATATGGTGGTTGATTTGTCTAATATGCTTGTTTGTGCATGAATGTTGCAGATGATTGACGACCAGGACCTGGGTTTCTTTGCCAACTTTCTTGGTATCTTTATCTTTGTGCTGGTGGTCGCTTACCATTATGTGATGGCAGATCCCAAATATGAAGGCAATTGAAAGTTGTTATTTTAGAATTAGCTTGGGCAAAAATAGTTATGTTTATTTGCCTTTGGCAGCTCTATATGATAGATATTGAATTTTGATGTGGCGAAACATTTAAATTACTGAGCATGGACTTGTATGTGACTGCTTCTGGTCCATAGAAACTTGGCTAAAACTATTGATCAGTATTCAGTTCATTGCTACAAATAGAGTAAATGATGTTATATTTTCCTTTCCCCTGTTGCTTAATGTTCTAGTAGTGTTTATTGTTCGAAACAAAAGAAATTGCTGTCTCTGAGATTTGCACCTCTAAAGAATTAAATATTAACAGCAAAATCTATTTTGAACTTGCAACATTAATCTAGATGCATAGTGACCTTATGTGTTACACTGTTTTTACTAAGACCATGTAGATTGTTATTAGAATATGGTTTTCTTTGTTATGACCATAAAGTCATTCATAGTTTAAATTGCCTAGATAATTATGTGTTTGATAAAAATGTAAAGAAGATTCAGAATAATATATTGCTTTAGAATTTAAGGAAACTAGAGAGAACTATATTAGAGCTACAGCTTTATGCTTTTGTGTCCATTGATCATATGGATTTGCTTATATAGTAACTTAAGAATCATGTAGCAGATTCTTATGAACAAATTGGTTCACCCAAAGGATCTTCCCACTTCACCAATTCTTTTATCGCGTTGTCGATGTCTCTTACTTCCCTCTCCAAAAAGCTCATGCAAAATTCTAAAGAACACAAACAACCGACAATCGTTCCTCTAAGCTCTATACCTGCAATGTCCCTCACTTTACCACGGACCTCGTTTGAGTTCTGAAGAAAAGAACTCAGAATCATCTCCATCTCCTCGTCGTTTCTTGAATACATTACATCCCCCCTTGGACATGACGAATTCCCTTCTTCAAGATCATTCAATATATTCTGCTCTGGCTGGATTTGAGAAGTTTTTAACAGTCTGATAGAAATAATTTTCTCAAAGGAGCTCACTGAAGAGCTTAGAGCATCATTAAAATGCTGTAAGTTGTTGTTTATGTATTGTTGAAGCTCCCTTTTATCAGGATAATACCTATCGAACGCTTGAGAGAGGAATTCGATATCACAGGACATGAAGAACAGAACATCTGCCATCTTTGACAAAGACATTTGGAGCTTTTGGTAGCAAGAAATTGGAAAAGGAATAAACCAGAATTTTGGTTCCAAGACTGCATCTTTAATGAACTTTTCCAAGTCTTGGACTTGAGATTTCAGATTCCTTTGCTTCTCCATTAACCCCTTTTGTCTTGAATCAACTACCATGTGTTTAGTGCATTCATTGATTGTTCCTTGGATTAGATAGAGATATTTTTTTACTAAAGTTGCTGAAGTTGTAGGTTGCAGGATAAGTTCAACAACGATGAAACAAGCTAGTCCAATGAAGGCCTCGGTGAGTCTGTAAATTGCGAATACACTAGGTGGACCATAACTTTTTCTGCCTAAAATCAGTAGTGAACCTATTACTGCTGCTGTTCCCCCTGCTTGAGTGAACATCCTACTATGCCTTAAAAATGTGGTGAAAATTATCCATGGGAGAAGAGATAAGAACCTTATTTGCGCGACTTTTTGAAAAATAGTGCAGGCAAGTACACCATACACTGATCCTATAGCTGTTCCTTGTGCTCTTGCATTTGCTTCTGTGAAAATTGCTTGTTTCCTTGTAACAAAGCTGAGGGCTATTGTGAGGCCTGACCAGTAACCATTTTCAATATTAAATAGCAGACCAAGCAACACAGCCAGTCCTAATGAAAATGAACACTTGAACGCGAATACCACCATTCTCTCATTGATTATTAGCATAGTCCTATCAATGCAGACTCGTCTGCAACACGATGTGCTACTACTACTACTACTTCTTTCTGTTGTGGCTCTAAGTCCTTCGTTTATAGGTGTGATCGTTTCAGAGTCACTCATGCACATTCTGAAACAAGATAAGAAGAAGAGTGCTGCTTGATCTTGTTTTGTTGGTAAGATTGGTTCATTAGAATGCCTAGAAGAGTACTCCTTCTCAAACTCCCCTTCTGTTACTGAATTATGTGGTAAAAATGATCTATCTTGCCCCATTATTTGACCAAGAAACATCATAACATGATGTGTGACTTTAAAAAGCTCTTTATCTATCATTCTTGTGGGAAAAATTGGACAAGAAGTTATAGCCAATTCCATTCCTTTCATTGATACATCCATGTTTTGTAAACCAAGTCCTGGATCTGTGAAATTGTGATTCAAGTATCTCAACCAAGGTTTCTCCCATTGCAAACCTTCCTATAAGTATAAGAGGGACCATTTAGATTATTGAACAATAACATTTTTATCTCACGTATGGATACTGAACTTTATTCACGTTAAACAGTAAAGTCATAAAACTACTTGTATCATATGAAAGTAGAGCACCATAAAACTATAGTTACTCGCATTTTGAAGAAACTGAACTTTACCTACTATAACAGTAGCAATCAAATTAGGATAGGTTTTGTCATTAGGATCGGTTAAGTTTAGTGACTTTACTGTTATAATGGTTATTTTAATGTGAAAAAATAATTTAGTAACTTTACTGTTATAGTAGATAAAGTTCAGCGATCGTATTTAGCTTACCTCCAAGAATTTGATAGTTTCAAGAAGCTTAGTTCCTGTATCAGTAAAGGGCTTTGTTTGAGAAATTAGCTCCATGGTTATTTGACCATCTTGTGTATGAATGGCTTTCAAATATAAATTTATTCTTCCTGTTGCACTTTCTGCATAAATTTGGTATAATTTTTTCACCTGTCATAATAAATCAATATTTATTACTATATATATATATACACACATTAGCAATCAATATAAATGAATTTTTGGCACTTTTTTATGGTCCAAATGAATGAAGTATATGCACAATACTTCTTACACTTTAGCTTCGCTTCTGGTCCTACGTCTTATTTATTTGTGACGTCGAGGAGTTGTATGATGTGAAAATCTTTACACGTTTTTCCACAATAGTGAAATGACATGATGATGTTATAAATTTAATTATCAAAACATTGAATGAAGTAATGCAACAACTATATATATGTACAAAACCCCACACATATTTACTCCAAAATGTGCATCTTCTCTTTCCCCATGTTTACAATTTTTAATCAAACAGACTGGAAATATCTGTGAAGTTTATATTATGGACCATAAAAGAGTACCATACCAATCAAATTAAATAATATAATCAATCAAATTGTCATAAGAATAAGGGCATTTCTATCTACCACAAAAAAAGTGCAATGAGCATATGTCAAGTTGTACATAAAAAAATTAATTTTGCTCGGATATCAAATGAGCAGGTTGGACTGAATTTGAGAATATCAAAATGGATTGAGTTTTCATTAATCATGACTATATATTATATATCAAACTAAAAGTTGTCTTTTAAAAATATTCAGACAGGAGTTTCACAGGGATCAATTTGGGTTGTATATTAGTCCAATTTTAAAATGAGATGAATTAAACAGGTCAAAAACAAATTGAGTTAGTAAAATAAACAAGTTATTAACCGTTCAAACCTAAATGGATTGGACAAATCATGATTTTATGAGCTGATTTTATCATCCCTGATTTCACGTAACGAATTTTTCTCTCTCTTCTCTTGCACTAGAGTTGAGTAATTCTTCAAAGAACTTAAAAGTTCGAGCTTAAGATCTATACACCAACCATAGGAACAATATTACACAATGAAGTCACTTATAAAGTAACTTCACCAATAATATACATAAACATAAACATATGTTTATACTGTCAACATATATAAGTTATTTAATCTCAAGTTAAAATTAAAATAATTGATATAATTATTTGTTTAAAAAACATTGATTTATAAATATTTACACACCAAATGGACCTTTCCTAGAAGATCCAAATTAACTTAACTTCATTGTTGTAGTTTCATGTCCGACCAGACTAAAAGACATCAACTTTAATTTTCAACTTATAAATTTTATAAAGAAAAAAATAATAATAATATTATAACAGACAAATTAATACCAACTTTGAGCAAATTAAAATAATATATACTTAAATGAACGGTTAAAACATAGTGTTTATATATTTGACTTTTCAACGCCTTGAAAACCTTGGTTACATCGAAAGTATAAAAACATTTTAGTGGCAATAGATTTTCTTTTAGCAATCATCAAAATAATTAGCAGCAATTGAGTTAATGTCATTGCATTCAAAATCACTTAAGATTATAATATTTATATTTATTATTGTCATAATATAATATAACAACAATAAACAACAGAAATTAACAACTGACAAATTTTATAGATAAATAACAAAACCTATCACTAATCCTATTTAGCAACGAATATTAGTAAAAAATTATCAAAAAGATTATGTGAAGCGATTTAACGACAGATTAGCGATGAAGTTCATATATACATACCTCATGATAAGCTAGCCAAGGATAGGGTAGCAACAAAGCTAAGATAGAAGCCAAAGCTCCAAGTAAAGTGCTAAAAGCAATTCTAAGAGGGTGCATCACAGGAGAATTGACATAAAGCCCATGAATAACAGCATCAACATACACTATAACAAGTTGTCCAAAGGCAATTCTCTTGCACATTAAGTCGGTACTCTCCGGTAATGCCACCAAAAACGCGCTCACCGCCACCATGAGGGCGGCTACCTCGGGTGAGTAGTGGTCGGTGGCGACATAATTATGAAGCCATAGGCCTAGCATGGAAAGTGGCATGGTTTGAAGTGTGGCAAGACATGCATGCCAACATCCCCTTAGGGCATGGCCTAACGTGGCGTCGGATACTATGAATATCGACGTCACGTAGGAAAAAGAAGGAAATGCTAGTTGCTTTGCAAGAGAAGGTGGACTATAGAGGGTGACGCACCCCACTATAATGCATGCTAAGGCGGTTCGAATAGCTGAGTGTAGCCTCATCCACCACATGACACGAGCTCGTTTCGCCACCATGGTAGTTGGCATGATGAGAGTAACAATTAATAATCTAGAAGATTCACCTTCAAGTGACAAGACAACTACTCTCTACACCTATTGCCACTAAACGATTAACTAGAGACTCACCTGCCAGTAACAAGACGACTACTTCATGCATACCACTAAATAAGCTAGCTAGCCAGAAAATTCACCTGCCAACAACAAGACGACTAGTACTCTCAACACATCACTAAATGGCTAGCCAGAAGATTCACCTGCCAGTAACAAGACGACTAGTACAACATGTCACAAGTTAAATGGTTAACAAGAAGATTCACCTATCAGCAACAAGACAACTACTCTCAGCACGACACTAAATGGCTATATGTCATTCAACATGGTAGTGACAAGATGACTACTTTCATCAACACACCACTGAATGACTATGTATAGACTTTCGCCTGCTAGTAACAAGACGACTACTTTCTAGACACGACGAAACGACTATATGGACATGCACAATGCAATGCAAATGTCACAAGTGAAAATATGATGAATTTATGTTAGTAGGCTCACTAGTTTATAGAATAGAGAATAGTATTCCAATTTCAGCTGGTTGTACACAAATTAGTAGAGAAGTGGTCCTCTCTAGGCCTTCAGTAGGAGAAGTATTTATAGAATTGCTAAAGTGTCACACTCATACATCTAGACAATCCAACTTTTTACATCAGTTAAAGAGTAAAACACTACCAAAAAAAAAAAGATGTAAGGAATATGTTCCTCTTAGCAAGGGGAATATTCATGTTAGCTCAACTCCTTACATGGAAGGACAAAAGAATATAAAGAAGAAAGGTGAAGTTATTGCACTCTTCTAGAAAATTATTTTTTCTTGAGTCGAGGGTCTAAAGGAAAAAGTCATATGTAAAGCCTGTATACACTACACCTCTCCTAGATTTCACTAGTGAAACTGCACTGGATATGTTATTGTTGTGGTACTTATAAGTAGTGTTTTGATTATCAAATTCCAAAGAAATGATTAAATTATCATGTCAATCAGAAATAATTATGTAGACCCTCAACAAAACTTGTGAGGCTCTTATGAAATATCCTTTCAATGAGGGAACCATTAAATTTTGTGAACCTCTCACTACTCACCAGGCCTCATGATTACAACTTAATTATACACTCTTATTTAACATTTAGACAATACACATATTGTTTTATAATTACTAGATGCTTCAAAAACTTTGGAAACAATCTCGATCGACTATTTATAAAATCACACTGGATATGTTGTTGTTATTGTTCAAAAACTTAAGAAACTCTCCACAAACTTTTAAGTACAAGGGTCTATCAGACCATTTCGCCAATAAACAAAGTCATTTCTACTAAAGAAGATAGAAAAACAATTAATCTTGAGGTCTATTAATTATTACATCAATGACAATGATGTACTAATAATTATACTTTTTGCTTTCTTTTTTGTTTCTTCCCATCTTTGGCATTGCACTTCTAATTTTGATAAAATCCAAAGAGAATGGCCAAACACACTGGCCATTTTGGCCATTTTTTGAGGCACAACAAATTAAAAGTTTATTCCAAGAGTCTTGGAGCTAGGATTGTTAATTAACAAATCATCAATACTTTAAAATATTCATAAGAGTGAGATGGTGTGAAGATGACATTTTATTTTAATTTGAAAAGAAAAAGTCATTTTCCATTTATATGACATTGTTATATAGAATTGAATAAACCAAAGTTGAAGAGAAATTTGATGGTATTAATCACTCAAGGGAAAATGTTCAATTTTTTCTCCTAAACTTTGCAAAATAAGTTTAGATATGTCATATCTCCTTCATTATTAATAGTTAAGAGTCATATATATATATTCATGCCATACAATGAATTAGAATTTCCTCTATTAATATATAATTGGGGTCAGATATTAGCATATCGTTAAAAAAATGGGTTAGATTTGCCTTTATGAATTAACGATCAAACTTTCCAACATATGGGGCAATCTTTTACAGAGGGAAGGGTCAAATTTGCATTTGAACTTTCGAAATGGGTATAGACGATCTCTCATATAGAGAAACCAAAAATAAAAGGGGTTAAATATTCAATATTTTATGCGTAAATTGAAAAATTATAATACTAATAATTAGGATTAATAAAATAAACAAGCCAAATTAAATTTGTCTAACTTGTCGCTCTTCCTTTTGGCAATCAAATAAATAATTATGTGATACGACAAGTAATCACCATTAGTACAACTAAGCTTTACCAATTAAATTCTACCAAAATTTAAATAAAGCAGGCCAACCAATTAATTCTTTACTCCTATAATTGAGTACAATATCGATAAATTTAAAATTTGAACTTTATGAATTCTTGTCTTTAATTAAGACGATGATCCCAAATATTAGTTATTAAATTCTGAATTTAATATTTTGTATATATTATGATATCTTAACACAAAATACACCACGTTGAAATCAAAATTAGTATTGAATTTTATCAAATCTATATTAATCTCTAAAAAGAAAGGTGTCAAAAGAAAAAAGTTACTATTATTTTTTAAATTTTAGTACCTATAATCCACATACAAAAGTTAATTTTTGACGCAAAATATAATGTTAGATTTTTCACAATCTTGTCCAATTATTTAAAATGGAATTAATTCCCCTTTTTGCAAGGCACATTATAATAGAATGGACAATAATGTCGATATATTCAACTTGTGTGTCATTATTATTTCCCAAGAATTCATTCGTCTGCACCATGATTTGGTGTATGGCATCTACACATCCACAAACCTTATTAAAGTTATAATTGGTTCTAGATTAATAAAACGTACATATTCAATGAACTTTTAAGATATATATAAGATTTGAACCAAAATCAATGCATCCAACTGAATTCGTAACTGACTAACTCCGTCACTTGTAAGTATCCAGAGCCTATTGTCCGGATCCCAGTCTAATACAGACTCGCGTCAAGTAGTTTCACCAATGAGGGTAAAGCATTTTCTACAAAGAAGTTCTTTGATTCTTGCGACTCGAACTTGAGATCTTTGGTAAAAGGTGAAGAAATCTAGCTATCAATTCAGTTCCCACTACTCTCACGATGATAATATGTCATAAAATTTATTATAAGCTTGATGTATGTATGAGTAAAGTCTCCCATTCGATGCAATTAATTCCAAACAAGCTTAGAAAGGTATTTTTGCAAACCCTATTCAATTGTTTTTTCTTTATTCTTCTGAATGTTATGTATAATGTATTACTCTTAATTTGACTTTTTTTGTTATTGTTATTATATTTGTATTCCTTTATCTCAGACGGCTTGAATATGTTTTATTTTAAGCTAGTGATCTAACGAAAACAACTTCTCTATCTATACAATTTAGAAATAAAGTTTATATACACTTATCTTTTTCAGTCTCTAGCTACTTGTCAAATAGGCAGTGTTTGCGGTCTCGAGGAAAGGTACGAAGTCACTCGACTGAAAGAAAAGGGAAAAAAATCAAGCTCTGTCAGTCAAACCTCTTCATCTCATAAAACGGTATTTCATCTCGTAAAGCGGTATTTCTCTCTTTTATCATCTATTCAAGGACATAGTACTGGTGACTGACCCCAATTATTAAATGTAGGACATTTACATTGAACTTTCCTACTCAATTGTCTTAATTCCCTCTTTGATAGGGAATGTAAATTAAGCCACATAATCTTATTATTATTAATTATTATTATATGATTTGTACTAGTCCTGACATTTATCATTTTGCTGCATATAACAAATACGTGGCTTCTCGAACTTTCCTCTATACTTATAGATGACTGAATTAATTATTCTCATTTATAAGGGTGGCAATATCAACTCTACGGGTTGGGTCATAATCCACCCAAATGTGACTCAACCTACACGACTTGTCTACTTGTAGAGCCAGCATTTATCAAAGTGGAGCAAAGAATTATATACATCACCTGACCTCACACGGGAGATTCCGAGTTGAGTGATTCTCCTCCAAAACACTCTACATGACCTCATACGCGAGGTCTCTTGAGTCGAGTGATTATCCCCCAAAAAAAATGTTCATGTGTGATGTTCTGAAAACGAAAACATGTGAGTTAGTAATTAGAACCCATTGTGAGGTGCAACGAGTATGTGGACAGTAAGTGAGTAAACAGTAGGAATGATACAAAGATATGGTTGCTGTGTCTTGTAGAGATTGTGAATATATTCCTAATAATATGAAGGAATTGCAATACGAACAAAACTCAATGTTTAGATGCAGATATCATTCGATTTCCACATATGCAAAGAGTGAACTGTAACTGATGCAGAAAGTTAAATAAACGAACAACAACATGCCTAGTGTAATCCCATAAGTGAGGTTTGGAAAGTGTAGGATGTACGCTGACCTTATTCCTACCTTTGTGGAATATGGAGGTTGTTTTAGATAGACCCTCGACTCAAAAGAAAAGTTAGGGAAGCAGTGTTGCAAGAAAATATGATAGCAAACTAACAAGATGCAAGACAAATGAAGCAACAAATAGTAATACACATTGAAGAATAAGAAACTATGTGACTACTAAAAGAAAAGTTAGGGAAGCAGTGTTGCAAGAAAATATGATAGCAAACTAACAAGATGCAAGACAAATGAAGCAACAAATAGTAATACACATTGAAGAATAAGAAACTATGTGACTACTAAAAGGAGGAGAGATGAGGCTAGCCCTCTGCCTCTACCACATAAAGTACGACAATACTCGACTACCTACTAACTTTCAACATGTTATTAGAAAAAAAAATTGCAGTAAAATAAAAGGAATCATTTTTCAGAGGAAGAAAAGTGTTTGTTCAAACAAGAAATTTTTATTTTGAAAACATTTTGTAAAGGAAGTAACTAGTAAGCATTTTCTCACAACTTCTTACTTACCTCGCATATAAAAGATGCAAAATTGAAGAGAGAAAATAAAATGTTTCTTTCGACAATTTTCCTTTCCTGGCAACGAAACAACACCTATCAAATAGAAAGTTCTTTT